AGAAGGTGAGCTTGTAGATCATTCAGCCCCACTGGGAGGCGATCCAGTGGTCCGTGAATTCCTACTTCAGCCTATTTATGATATGGCCCGCCACTAGCGAATATCATCAAGTGTAAGGACAAACGCTCGCTGATAACATTCGCTAGCGGTCGTGCGATATCGTGAATTGGTAGAAGTTGGGATTCATGAGCTGTCTACTGGATCGGGTCCCAGTGGCTTAATGGTCTACGGGTTCGCCTTGTAACCAGAAGGTCGTGGGTTCGAACCCCGGTGGGTGTGTATTGATGAAGATTCTTAAACTAAGACGAAACAGTTGTCCAGTACTCCCTGCAGGTTTTCCAATGGTTCTTTAACTGATGTCAGCTCATGATGAAATGCTCTAACCAATTCGGTGTATGTCAGCTGAGTTTATGCAGTAGTGTTATCTGGTCTACACTAGTTATTTTCTCTCTTTTTATCCCTGCATAGGGAGTACTGATAATATGTGTACAAAAATGGATTTATGATTTTATTCACTCAGGTATTTATATTTAGCTTTCAACTAATGAGTCATATTATTTGACTGGCATTGGCTTTACATACTAATATATTTAGGTTATCGGATAGAATTATACTTTCTGATATCATAACTGTCTATACTACATATGGAATGTATATAAAGCCATCCCGCCCCCAAGCATTACATATGACTAAAACTTTATTTTCAGTTGTTATTTTCATGCAATTGGCCCCCACAAAATGTAAGATGATGCTGCATGACTGGACTACATTGACTCCTAGCTTAGAAATAGGGAGTGAAGTGGATGGCTGAGCGTGTTGACCACTTCACTCATTTGGGAAGCTGCATCAGCCCCAACGGGTTGATCGCCGACAAAATCTCAGCTCGGATACAGAAAGCTAGTTTCGCATATACCAGTTAACGCCATCTCTGGCGTAGACGTGATATCCGGCTATCGACTAAAGGGTGGGTGTACTGCTCATCAGTCCGCATAGTCCTTTATGGTTGTGAGACCTGGCCATTGAGAGTGAAAAACATGAAAAGCCTGGCTGGCTGTCGTTAATCATAGGTGTCTGCGTTGTATCTCCCGTGTGAAGTGGTATAATAAGGTGAGCATATTAAGGTTGGGCTTCGGTCGAGTGAGTGCTAGGTAGGTAGGAGGGGAAATCAATAGACGAGGCTGTAAAGTTACATCGATTGAGATGGTTAGGACATGTGTCACGCACACATGACTAGCCATCACCTTCCTCGACAATGGGCAATGTTAGCTGACATAGGGTCAGGCTGGAAAAGAGAGACCTAGTGGTGGTCACACGAAAACATGGCTTCATCAGTCAATGAAATCCACAACAGTTAGTTTAAGTCACGTAGGAAGGTGTAGACTTCCTGACTGGCTGGTTGGGGTCCTCGGGACGGGAAAACACCAATGGCTGGTGCAGATGACTTGTGACTTATAATACCCAATAAAACTATATTGTTCTTCGTTATTACCATTCTTTTTGTCTCATATCCCTGTTTACTGTCCCTACTTTGCATTTCTTCTCTTGTTTTGTGTGCTACACGGAGGGAGTGTGGCGACTCAAACTGTTGCACATCGGTGCAAAGTTCTATGTCGAAACTAGTCAGTTAGTATTTCCGTAGTATACGTAGAAAAAGTAACGTTCTTTTCGTCTCACTACACCAAACCTTTTTCCAAAATACAAGCGAATTACATCTGTCTACCAAGTCATATAACATAGGCTGATGATAATGATGATGATGATGAATGGCTGTAAGTTGATAATGCCATCTAGTACTTTAAATGAAGATAGGTGAAATCCTCTTTAAGTATTTGCTTTACTCTTTAGTTTTATAATGTGAACTAAGCATTAAGTATATTCCGCGTCACTATTGTTGATCTTATTCATTAGAACTATCGATAGTGAAGAAAAGTGTGGTAGAAGTTTACGAATGGGTGAAACAGTCCTTCTAGGTGAAATCGATGATAAAATCCAGAGTCTTATGACCAATTTGAGGGCAGAAGTCTTGCTATGTTTAGCATACGATTGGCCTCCTTTCTCCTGTTCTATGTAACATAATATTACACAACTAGTCTGCACCAACTACTGGTTAGAAGATAGGAAGTGAAATGGTTTGGTGGATTTTTGACCACTTCACTCGTTTATGAAGTATCGCTAGCACACTAATGAACTGATTTCTGACTAATTCTCATCTCGGACACAGAAGGCTTATGTGCGCACGATATCCATGGGACGTGTACTGCTCGGCAGTTTGATCTGTCCTTCTATACGACTGTGAGATATGCAAGATAAGAAGAGGTTATCTATCTGCCTTTAACTATACGTGTTTGCTTCCTTTCTCCAATATTAAGGGGTTTCGATATGTTGAGTAATATCCAACTTAGACATAATGTGTAAGGTAAGTAGATTACAGTGAAATTGTGAAGGTGAATCGATTGAGAGGCCTAGAACGACACAATTTGCACGTGCCAAGCCATCGCCTTCTCCGTCGAGCAATGTTAGTTGACATCAGATTAGGTTGGAAAGAGTTAGCGTTGGTCAAATCAAAATATGAAACCAATCCATGATGGCTTTGATCATTGGAAGGCGTAGACTGCGTGGCTGGGTCCCTTTGATAATCAGTGGCTTGAGGCTTGTTGTCTATGACTCAGTTGCGTCCATCCCTTGTAGTCTCCCATATCTATCTCAACTCCTCTTTTCTGCCATGTGTGTTACTATTCTTTCTCTTCCCTCACTTTTCTGCTAATTATAGTTGTTTTGAATCACTTCTTTCTCCTTTTTTGCCTACCTTTATGTGCTATATTAGGGTGGGGTAGGGTATGGCAACTTAAAGTGGTTCAGTTCTGCGCAAAGTTTTACTTTGAACCTAATCAGACAGTAAAATAAGGGTGACAGTTCAGATATTTGAATTTTTTAGGATGTTTTTTCATCAGACTAAGATACCTTTAATTACTCGTTTTACTGAAAGCATTAAGAGAGAGGTAATAACGAAGTGAGCTAATTGATGAAGGGCAGTCATTCGGAAATGTTGTGATCTATCCACCTTGATGATGATGATATATGTCAAACCATCGCCTTCCTCGACAAGGAATGTTATCTGGAGTAGGATTAGGGGATTGGAAAAATAGAGGTTCAAATGAAAAGATGGCACCAATCCATGAATTCATTGATTGTGCATTGGTTTGAAACACTTACGAAGGAGAAGAAGATTGTCTAGGTGGAGTCTTTGATCGGTACAGTGACTGACTAAAAATCATTCAAGATGATTCACTCCTTGTTGTTTATAAAATCTTGAATAGCTATTTGGGGGGGGGGTACCATTCATATTTTTTTTGGCGAGATTTTGAATTGTGCAATTATAGGATTAGTAGACAAATCGAATATTGTGTGAAATCTAATAGCATAGAATTTAACGTTGTAAAAAAGAATTGATTTAGAATGACAAGTGGAACAAGTGATACAATAACGGGGACAGTTCAAAGTGAGAGTAGTAATAGTAACAGTTGACGTAATAAAGGAAGAGACTACAAATTGAATAGACAAAATGAAAAATTGGCAGAGCTAAAATATGATTGGGGATTACCATACTTTAGCATAGAGGAAGTTGGAGCGGTTGAACGAACCTCTTTTTCTGTACACAGAGATCTGGCTTTTCTGTTTCGATAGTCAAAGCTTCAGTAACACAGATGAGTCGGGTACGTAGGGATTTAGGTAAATTACTCTTTGCCTTGTAGATGACTTTAAAGGCGGAGGCTATAGAGATAGGATGATCATTATCGACCAGATGTTCAATGATCGCACTTCTTATTGCTCCAACTTTCATGGTCTTAATCCCTCTATGCTAAAGTATGGTAATCCCCAATCATATTTTAGCTCTACCAATTTTTCATTTTGTCTATTCAATTTTTTATTTTTATTTTGATCACAGCTTGATGCCACACCGTATTTTCAGTACAAGTATGGAATTTTCAGCATGGATATCGGTAGCCCAATTTTGCAGGCCGACCATAGATATCGGGTGTGCGTCGGCAGGGTATCGAACCCCGGACCATGTGCATGGTCGGCGAGAGTCCTAACCACTGTGCCACCGACGCACTTCCTTATTATGTCAATTGTTACTATTACTACTCTCACTTTGAACTGTCCCTGGTATTATTTCACTTGTTCCACTTGTCATTCTAAATCAATTCTTTTTTACAACATTAAATTCTATGCTATTAAATTTCACACAATATTACGTAACGTTTTTATTTTTATTTTATTCGATTTGTCTACTAATCCTATAATTGCACATCCTTTTTCAAGTTCTATCCATCCTATGAATTATTCTATATATGACATTAATTTGCTTTGCCACTTGACATTTTGAATTGTGTCAATTGTCGAACTTTTTTGCTCTTCTGCACACAGTTCTAAGCTGTGAGGTAGTGAGTGATTTAAACATTTTAGGAAAATCCTTTAATTTGGGATACAGTTACTATATACACTTATTCTTCTTATAGTTTTTTTTTATTGTCAAATTTACTGGAATTATCGTTTCATTTGTAATGTCAACTTTTATATGAAAATGCAAGCTTTTTAGAATCTTCGTTTTCAGAGGTTTGTTCACGAGTTGATATCAGTTAGAGAATAATGGAATCCGGCCTCAGCCGCTGAATGCTCTACGAACTCTCCTTGTAACCACAAGATCCTTAGTTCGCGGATCCCAGTGGATGCTTACTGTTGTGAAGAGTTACAAACTAGGACGAAACAAGCTGTACAGTACTCCCTTTTGGTTTTCTGTACGTTCTCTAACTGATGTCAACTCACTATCAAACCTGCAACCAATCAAATCCCTGCAAATCCAACACTTGATAAGTATTCATGTTTACCAATAATTCCTGCTAAGCATGTAATGAATTTGTCTCCCTAGAATGATCTCATATCCGTGTGTACATTCAATGCTAATATTTATTCATGCTCCAATTTTGTTGTTGTCTTAGGAAAGGATGATGCATATTCAACGGTGGGTAAATCATCTACCTTGGAATGCTAATAATATATGTGATGCTTCCGGTAGAACTCATGTACCTTATCCTATTCCTCTACGTCCTCATATAGATGAGGATCGTGAATTAACACCTCCCCCTGGTCGAAATTATTTAACTCGACTACCATTTACAGCTGAAGAACAACAAGCTATGGTACGATTTTTTCCCTCGCATACAAATCAATATAGACATCAACATCAAGGTCATGCTGTTCCTGATCCTCAACCTCGATATCAACATCCATTTCCTAATCACTGTCCAAATCAACAAACCTCTAATAATAATAATAACAATAATAATAATAATAATCACCATTTTTCTTCATCACAAAGACCTAGTCAAGAAGCAGGTAATGTTTTCACACCTACTGGTGTTCGACATATGCCTGAATATATAAATGAAAATAGTCGTAAACGTGGACAAGAAGATGTTACTGGTGGTGGTGGTGCCGGTGCCGGTGGGAGTCGATTATTCGCCGATTGGGAGACAAGATTAATTAGTCGCCTTTTTAAAGAATTCTTCCATGGAAATCCTAAGCCTACTGGTGTCTGTGGTACACTACCATCACTTAGTGAAGTCCGTTCTCGGATAGCCTCATCAAAATTAAAAGAGACCAGAACACCTACAGCTGTTCGGTCAAAAATCCGTCGAATGCAATCCTCTGGTACATGGTTAAAGTATCAATGAGATTGTGAGATGAGTTTTGTGTGTGTGTGTTTTATTTTTGAAGCTCTTCCTCTCTCCGTCTCTGTCCGTTCCTCTCTTTCTGTGCTACAATTCTTATCAAAGAATTCTTTGTGTATTTAATTGGACGATTATTGACAATAGTTCAATTACAATTTTTTCTAAAAAAGGAAATAACAACCTGTGAACAATAAAGAATAATAATAGCGCTCAAGTTATTATACATACATATATAAATAGTGTTTCAATTGTGAAGTTTCGTTTTATTTCTTTGCATGTCATAATTGTTGTTTCAACTCTTTTATTATTTTCCAGTCAAAACTCTAGTTTTTATTTCAAGTGTATCTATCATTCCAGAGTGCGTGTGTGTATATGAATGTATGCATGTTGTGATGTTTTAAATGAAAAACTGCACACTACACACTACATATTTCAAAGCTGTTTATAGAAAGTATATAATTAATATATATACATTCGGCAACAATCCTTTTCTCAACTGCAATATATATATATATATATATAATGTATAAACGTTCGACAACAATCCCCTTGGATTCTTACCATTATTAATGCATAAATGCTGTTTATAGCTCTTGTTTTCTCTTCTCCACATCTAACCAACTAACTAACTATCTTATCTATCTATCTACTATTGTATTGCCCTGTTTTACGCCACTCTCACTCTCTCGTGTCTCCTTGTCGTATTGTTTTCTTTCTCCTGTATGTATCTACCCTCAGAGAGTCCTTTCGGGTATTTTGTTTGTTCATCTTCTCTTTTCTCCGTTGTTTTTTTCGTTTGTTCATTCGTTTGAGCTATTTCCCGACAGTATTATCAAGCATTATTACACATATATACATATATATAAACATATTCTTGTATATGTGGTAGTATTACTGTCATTATTAGTATTAGTACTATTCCTTTTGTCTTTTGTTTCGAATTTTTTTATAAGTATTGTTTTGCTCCATAAATTAATTATCCCCCTCCCTCTCTCTCTCCCTGTCTTCTCATGTTGTTTATTATTATTATCGTGTGAAATGGAGAAAAAATAATGTTCACTCCGTTTGTGTTTTAGTTTCTTTCTTTCTTTCTTTTTAGATATCAGCTGTGCATATCAACAACTGGTCTTAATTGTTTTTAAATTTCTTTGATTGATTCCACTTTTTTTCTTTCTTTCTTGTTCATTAATCGCGGGGGGGTAGGGTCGGCTGGAGGAGGGAGGGGTTGTTCTTTTTTTTTGGGTTCCCCTTTCTTTTTCCAAATCTTCTTGTATACTGTTTATTAATATTATTATTATTTTTTACTTATATATGTATACATATGTAAGGTGAATAAAGGGAATAATCAATGTAGTAGGCCAATTTAATTAATTCACTCTTTCTCCGTCCCTCTGCCTCTTTTTCTCTCTCTCTCTCACTCTTTCTATCTATCTATCGATCGACTGATCGATTGATTGATCGATCGATCTAACTGGTGTAATAATCAATTCCAGTTTATCAAAAATCTATTTAGTAGTTATTAATAATGATGATGATAATAATAATAATTACCCTATTGTGCTTATCTTCTCTCCTTCTTCTTATTCTTCTCTGAAGTTTGTCGATAGAAATACACTGCATATCTATTTGCGTGAAGAAAAATAAATAAAAAAATATATATACAACTGTGCATATATGATTATTTACTAGTGTTTTTCTATGATTCATCTGTGTGTGTGTGTGTGGAGAGTGTTTGCCTGTCTGTTGTCTGTCTATCTATCTATCTGTCTCTCTGTGGTCTCGTTGAATCATGCAGTGGGTGTTGTTAATTCTGAGTGAACCTTATTTCTTGACTTCTGAGCTAAACATAGGGAAGTACCTCAAGCCTGAGGTCTTGGAGTTCGTGTATCTGTCTGCTTCCCCCAGCTTATGATCGGCTAGTAAACTAGATAAGGTTTACGAGGACATCGACCGGGAATTAAACTCACCGCCTACTCTCCCCCCCACAATCACATGCGTAGTTGGCGAGCATTCCAACCACTGCGATGGACATATAACTATAACACATGGATGGAATAGGATAAACACAATAGATCCATTTTACGAGTTGATCACGGATTGATATCAGTTAGAGAACCATTGAAAACCAGCACCGGAGTACTGGACAGCTGTTTCATCCTAGTTTGGGAATCATCGGCAGTACGCACCCACTGGGATTCGAACCCAGGACCTTCCAGTTACAAGGCAAGCTGGCTCGTATACCATTCAGCCACTGGGACCCGATTCAATGGCCAGCCCATGAATTCTAACTTCTACCAATTCGTGATTTTAGCGCGACCCCAACCATTGTCGTTGGTGGGACATCCATCCACACACGTGACATCTAATTGGACCTCACTGGTCACGACTTCTCACTAGAACTCCAGGAAACTCCATCCTGTATCAAGTCACGTAATACACGTAAAAACATAACTAACCCTTACATACAAACCAAACTATAGAAGATCCATTTTATTTCGTATTCTTCTCAGCTGCGCTTACCTAATGACTTACATAATCTCATTATTTAATATGCCTCAATGTATCTTGTTGTTACACTTGCTCACCACTTTTTGTGGTTTCTTTAAGTTGGAAAAAGTATATAGGATAATAATGAAAAGTGTTTATAACTTGAAATCATTAAAGAAGCTTTACTTGGGATGACTATGTCCATTAGGCGCTATAAAGTATTCTTTTAGAAGGCGGATGTTTTCATTAACTCCCTGCAGAAGTGTATGAGCGATTGTTACTTCCCTGTTGTTCACACCGTCAAAGTTGGCTTTTTCTTGACAATATGTGGTGATCGTTCTTTACAGTTATGTTCAGGGCAAAGTTCAACAATAGCGTCCCAGAAGCAGTGCGAACGCACGAGTGGGTGACCTTCAGCTGACCAATCATAAAAATGAGGAATGTTTGCTCAAAAAAATGATGTATATTGACAAGAAAATGCTTGAAAACGCACTAAACAGGTTATCTTTCTCTGACACGCTGCTTAAAAATACGTCCTAGTTATAACGAGGAGTATCAGTTGCTAAGTTAGACTAGTTTCTGTACATGTATTCACCGAGATGACTACAAATAAACTTTTTGTGAATCGTTTATCTCTCTCATCCTGCTTGTAGTCTTCCAAAAAAGCTCTCGGTTGAATTATTATGGTTTCCAGCAATAGGATAGACGTCTACTTACCAGGAAAATGTGGAAAATAAAACAAATTAAAATAAATGACATCAGCTATAAATCTATCCCTAATCGTAACCCTAACCTTAGAAATAGGATCAGGTTAACCCTGATCCTAAACTTAACACTAACTCTAACCTTAATCCTAACCCTTATCCAAACCGTAATTCTAGCCCTAATGCTAATTATAACCCTAATCCTAACCCTAACGAGCTATTAACACATTGTCCAAACAGTACTTAAAAACGTGATCTGGGTGAAATTTGCTCCTAAGTTGGTGAATAGCGTTGATATTTCAGCTATGATAATGACAGATGCCGTTAGCCAATGACTAACATGCGTTCAAGGTCATTGGAGCGTTCACACTCCTGGGACGCTATTGTTGAACTTCGCCATGTTCAGACTATCATCTGTTTCTTTTTTAGCTTATGGAGAGATACTACTCCAACATCAAATCAATTAGAGAGAGACAGACAGAGTCGGTAGAAGACTGAAGCTGCTTCTTGAACTAATGTAATGGAAGAAGATTCCATGTTAGATAGGTTTATTTGGTATAATGTACAGTTATACAGTATTAATAACTGGATGTCTTTTCGAGCACCATATATTTACAGCTCATTATCACATTCTCCTCCTAAAACACATGCATCAACTCCGACCATACACCAGCCCGCGTACGTGTATGCCTTCGACTGAATGAACATAGAAATAAGCATCTATGAAACCACCTTACCCTCAGCACGATGAGAACACAAAGTCTGTATTAAAGGAAATAGCTAGACACGTATCTGAGATTCACTGCAAAACCCACCCTGAGGAAGCCTGAAGTACATATCCAGCAGTAAAGGCCGTTGATAACCTTGAAACCAAAGATTAGTAAATACCGGTAGATTTTTGTTGCTTTATCCAAACGTAAGAAGACTCATTTGGCTGGGCTTTGAGCATGATGAGTAGTTGAAAGCTGGGTAAAAGTCTTCCGAATGATTGTTAACAGTGGTGGGCGATAAAAACGAAAGAGAAGGGAGAGACATCAGTCGTAGCCTATACCAGTCAACTGTTTAAATTTATTGGGGAACGGGTTGTTAAAAAACCCAAATGTTAGTGAAACAATTTCCGAGAAGACTGCAATGTAGGAGGGAACACTGAAGAGCAAAATAAACTTCCCTATAGCCATGCCCAACATCTAACACACCGGTTCCAAAACTGTAGCTGAAATCGCAGAAGATGCCTCTAATCTAGAACGAGACAAAGCAACCAACCTGATGGTGAGAATTCATTGGTGTTAACCGGTAAACCAGTCAGACTTTAGGGTGTATTGAGGATATCTTGACCCTTTGACATATTCTGGAACATAGGCATACCTACCAGCGTCCAACACTTGTCATATTTCTTCACCTAAAGACAGCATTTTAACTATGTTGACTGGAAGGTTCTACGGCAATATGTGGTTGCAAAGGAAATACTGAATGAGTATATCCTACTAATCAGGACACTAGTCGAATTCATGCAGCTATGTAGGAGCTGATGGACAGTTGTCATTTGAAGTGGAGACAACTAGTGCTGTACGTCAGACATCTCCGATGTCTTTTTGTTTAATGTCATCATAGATGTGACTCTGATCAACTTTAGCGGCTTAGAGATTTACACGTTACTAGAGGATAGTCTCATCGATTTAGAGTATGGAGACGATATAGTCCTCATGAATCAATATGCTGGCAGAATTCAATATCCCAAATATCTTAAGCAGAGATCCTGGTATGTTTAGCATACCTTTCATCTCTGTCAGATGTAAGGTGATAGATACTAAAGGACTGACCTGCACCAACTTCTAGTTTAAAGATAGGGAATGTAATGGTCAAGTGTTTTTTTACCAGTTGACTTATTTTGGAAGTTAAGTGAGCCCTAATAGACTGATTGCTAATAAAGCCTCAGCACAGCTGCACAACTGCAATGTGAAGTCAGTGCTACTATACGGATCAGAGACTTGCACTGCGCGTCATAAAGAGCATCTCAAACAAACTACAGACTTTCATTAACAGTTGTCTTCGCTCAATACTGAAGATCAGATGGCCAGAAAAGATCAGCAATAGAGATCTCTGGCAATGAGCGAACCAACCAGGAACCGATTGTGAAACAAATAGGCAGGAAGAAATGAAGATGGATTGACCATACTCTGAGGAAACCATCAAGTGACAACACTAGACAAGCCATTGCTCGAGTGGAACCCGACTGAATGGGAAGCGGCGAGTTAGTCGTCAGTGCAAGGGTGACTTGGAGGAGGTCATGTGAAGAGGAGATGAAAATGTGTAGTCAGACATGGAGCCAGGTGAAGAC